CTGTATCTTATTCAACATGACTATATTCTGTATCTCATTCAGCATGACTATATTCTATATCTCATTCAACATGACTATATTCTGTATCTCATTCAGCATGACTATATTCTATAACTCATTCAACATGATTATATTCTGTATCTCATTCAACATGACTATATTCTATATCTCATTCAACATGACTATATTCTATATCTCATTCAACATGACTATATTCTGTATCTTATTCAACATGATTATATTCTGTATCTTATTCAACATGATTATATTCTATATCTCATTCAACATGACTATATTCTATAACTCATTCAATATGACTATATTCTGTATCTTATTCAACATGATTATATTCTGTATCTCATTTAACATGACTATATTCTGTTTCTCATTCAACAGGACTATATTCTATATCTCATTCAACATGACTATATTCTGTATCTCATTCAACATGACTATATCATTTTTCTCATTCAACATGACTATATTCTATATCTCATTCAACATGACAACATTCTATGTTTCATTCAATATTATTTTAGCATAAGTCCCTTCAGGCGAACTGTAATCGTGTGATACGTTCTCGTCTCTCTTGACACTGCTGTGTTGAGAGAGGTTTCCAGAACTGTTGACCTAACTTCTACACGTTGCACGTGACTGAAGTAGAAGTTAAAGTATTTGCTTTGTTTATGTTAGAGCATAGCCACATTGGAATCGAACCCCGGGTTTCAGCGTTACAAGTACATAGACTTACAGTTTGGTGTCACCTACAAAACTATGATGAAACAATGTATAATTGTAATTACTGTTTTTGTTTTATCTTCATTCAAACTATCTTAAACTTAATTAAGTGGGCAAAATCTCTGGTTATTCAGCCTATTATAAAGGGGGGGGGGATTAACAACAATAATTCCTTATATTGGCAACTCTGTTGAAGACTGTAGCCGAGAATTAGCATGGTTTACAACTGTGGCAACTCTATTGAACATTGCAGCCGAGAATGGTATGGTTTACAACTGTGGCAACTCTGTTGAAGACTGTAGCCGAGAACTGGTATGGTTTACAACTGTGGCAACTCTGTTGAAGACTGTAGCCGAGAAC